GGAGAAAGAGCAACAGCACACTTCGATCTCTTTTAGCAGCTACCAAAATCACTTATCAGTTATGAGTAGATGAATTTACTGCAATATCCTGCTTTTTTGTTTGAGAGATATTAACTGGTTAATGTTTAATAATTCATGAAATAAGCCTAGTTGGAGAGCTCTCCCACTGACTGACGACCTCATTCAACTCCCTCTCATTCAAGCTGAGCAAACTCTCATTTACTAATTACACTCTTCTGTTGCTCATTACCTCCTTTTCTGTATAAGCATCCCTCAGTTTGTAATAGTTATAATGCTATATATGATTATATAATAAAATATAAGAACTAGATACGAGAATCTGCTCAATATTCCACCATAGTAACTGCATAGTAACTGAAAAGTTTTTGCCGAAGTGCTACACAAAGGCTGCTAATACAATAGAATGGATGTAAAGCACCCATAAACCAAAGGAAGAGGTAAAGGAACTCACAAGTGCTGTTTGCTCTCAAGCCTTCTTTACTAAGCCTATTTTGCCTGTAGCAGTTGGCCAACTGTAATTACAAAGCCATTCAGCTAAAAACGTGACGTGACAGTGAGACGGCAAATAACTGATATACTTGTGTTTATTTTGTTTCACCATATTGGTTTAAAATGAGTATCATAGTGTACAAACACTTTGCTGTGCTATTACAGGTTGCACAATCATGACATCTATGCAGCTTACGCTTCATTCAAGAGAAAAAAAAAAAGAGGAAGCATAAACCAAGTTCATCATCATATTTGAGCTATAGTTTTATATTTCACTAACATGTCTGTGGTGTTGCTGGTGTGGATTGAAATGCTTTTTTTAAAATGTGATTTAATGAGGTCTTGATTTGATGCGTGACATGATGCTACATGTATCCAGTGTGAACTGGCCTTTAAAGCACATTTTGCAAATATCTGTCATTATCTGGTGAAATACATACAGCAGGTCTTTTTTCTCAGGTGCTATGTGGAATTTTTGTTAATGTAGTTTTGTTGTCTGTGTGCATGGATAAGCTGTACAATTTTTTTTTTTTCTTACAAATTTTTAATTTCTGATAAGAAAACATTAAAAATTGCAGTTCTGTAATTTTATTTGTGTTGTTGCACTTTTCGCCTCTTTGGTTGTGAAGACTGTTTACTCTTTCCATAGATATCATCATTTTTAAGGAAAAATTCTCTCTGTTTAGTATGGCCTATAATAGGACAAATAACTTTAATAGCCTGTCCCGGCTTTGTTCACCATTTAAACACAAACACACATACGCACACATATACACACGTTTTCATCAGTGGCTGCTGAAATATGACTAATTAGCACTTTCTGGTACATTGATTGGTGTCATTCTGCAGTCTAAATGAGGATGCAGACACTTAATCTACAGTGCTTATGCATGAAGGCAACTAAAGAGGAGGAAAGGGAGGAAAAAAGAAGAAAACAGAAATGCAGTAATTGAGAGAAAGAGAAATGGGAAACAGTTAGAGAGGATTTGAGTGAATAGGAAGGAGAAGGACATAATATCAGAGTGGAAGATTATTATTATTATTATTATTATTATTATTATTATTATTATTATTATGTTCATCATTTTTTACATTTCCCAGCTTTTAGCACTGTGAAAAAACTATTAATATTACAGGTTTTATCTTTCCTCAACTGTTAATTTGATGTCTGTTTCTTCTAAGTAAAGTTTAATTACAGCGTGATTTATTTTTGACCTCCCATATGTGTGTGAAGGAAAGAAAGAAAGAAAGAAAGAGTGGAGTACAGTGTGTGTGTGTGTGTGTGTGTGTGTGTGTGTGTGTGTCTGTCTCTGTGTGAGAGAGAAGGAGAAAGAGCAAGAGCAAGAGAGAGAGAAAGTGAGTTCATGTTACATTAAAAACTTCTTATCTCATGCTATGTGACACGATAGTCGATAGGAAAAGGCATTTATGGCTATTTAATCTCCGCCTCGACTCACCATCTCTCAAATCTGCATCATTTGATCTGCTCGCTGCACATCTCCTCTCCATCTCTCTCCATCTATCTCCCTTTCTCCCTCTTTTTTGCGCATTAAATTTTTTCTCATAGGCTCTTTTCTTAGTATCGGTAATTTAATTTTTCTTTGTTCTCTCACTCTCTCTTCTGATCTACTATTACTTGTTATTACGAATTAAAGGATCTGTTTCACTGTTTCATCTATTGGATAGCTCTGATGTATCTAGTAGGTATTCAGTATTAAAGCAATCATATACTGTTATGTATTACATTTATGGGTCATTATCAAAAAATTAAATACATGCTGTATTAACTGCTTCAATATATTGGCCAAGCACTGGTTTTATTGTCCCTCTTCACGCCTGGGCAAAAAAAAAAAAAAAAAAGGGCCAAGCCCAAAATTGCAAAATATTAAGCTTTTAATGATCTTAACAACAAATCATTGGTCAGGAAATTAGCAAGAATGAAACAAAAATTCTCTCCTTGCTCTATCAATCCTGGTTCCATTTATGAGCTTGTTATCAGGTCCTTGATGGGCTGCATCAGATGTGGCAGATAACCAAATAATGACTAATCTTTTAAGAAAAAAAAACCCCCAGAAGATATTTTTGGGAAATTTTGTATACCCAGACATGTGTTAGTTTGAATTTTACATCATACCTTTTAATCATTATCATGACTTTACCTTTGCATACAAGAAGGCTGTATAAGTGAATTTGCCTGTTTCTAGCTTTTCCCCAAACAAACAGTTCACTGCAGAAAAAGTAAATGAGCAAATGGTGGCACTGTAATGTATTGAATGTTCTTATTTACTATGGTTATTTCCATATAATTTAGTTTAAATCCAATAGATTGAGAAGTGGGAAGAAAAGAAAAGAGAGACATATTCCAGGAAGGAGTGTCATCTCTTCAGGTGATAGGTTATGATGGGTTATTAAGATTAGACGGATATAGACATATGCATAATTTCAGAGACGGAACAAAAAAGATGTCATTAAAACCCTATGGTGCATTTGCCCTAATCTTTATCATTACACACAATTTATTGTTTCAGAGCTTTTAAAATTTCTAATCCACAAACTGATCTCTATTTCTCTGGGCTATTATGCCTTTAAAAAGCATGTCCCTGTCTAATGTAACTACCTTCCATTGTAAAACCCACATGACCCTGTCTCTGCAAAAATGGCCCAAATTGGATTGTGATGGACTTCTGCTCCCTTTGGGTTCATCACAATATGACATTACTTTTATCCAACAATGATAAATCTAATGGCCTCAGTTCCCTGTCCAGGTTCTCTCTCTCTATTTGTAGGAACCTGTCAAAGCTTTGGCAGGAAATTTGAGCAGCTGGTTTTCCCCACTGTGCCGGTGGATCTGTGGTTGACCATAGGGCTAAGCATGGGTCAACCTGTCATTATGCTAATTAATGGGTAATAATAGGTAATGGTTTGGCCCTTGGTGGTCTTTTCGCCGAGTTTATTCTTTTAGGTCATAAGGTAATGCGGTTCAATGATGAGTGTTTTAATCCCCTTGTACTTGGAATTCAAAGTTAGTGCTCACTAGACACTAGGGGTTAAATGGACACTTAGCAAAACTACTGCATGCTGTGACCTTACAACCCTCTATTCCAGACATATTCAAACTTTTTTCCCCATGAGACCTGCTTCCAGTCCCTCTCCAAATTTGTCAACACTGAAACTACTGCAGTGTATAAACAGGGTGTGATTTGTTAAAAAAAAAAAAAAAAAACAGAAGGGGGAATCCGAATTTGAATTCAATCTTATTTTAATCATTTTCAGTGGAACTGTCAAAGTTATTTTAGGGCAATCTTATTAATATGTCATTAAAATTTGTCATTTTGACTAAAATGACAGTATCATGCCCTCCCTGCTCCTACTACTTTCTGGTTTTCACCCAAAGTACATGAACTTGTCACATTTATCAATATAGCAGTACAGATCATGTGGTGTCTTTACTATTACACTAACATATTTCCTCATCTCCCCCAGATATAACTACCTTTAAAATTATTTATACAGTGTTATTTGACACTTCATTGTAGGCATATTTAATGTTTTTTTTAATTTTATTTTATTATTATTATTTTTTTAACTTTCAGCTTTTTTCTCTTTCAGCTAAAAATAAAAGTGTAAGTTTTTTAATTAATTAATTTATTTATTTTTTGCCATTTTTGGTCGAAAAGATTTTGGCAACACCACTAATAAATGTAGTTATCCAGTTGTTTTTTCACAGGTTTTTAAGCATGCCCCACAATGGATGGCTCACATGAAGGACACTAACCAGTCACCTGTTAAGTTGGATTTTTAAGCTGAAGGATTTTCACATTCCTGTTTCTGGGCAGAGCAGACTGGCACTATTGGTAGGGTGCTGTGATGCTGGCCCTCAACATTAAAAACAAAAAACAAATGCATATGCACCTCAGGTAGATAATTACTAGTAACTGGAAATGGCGAGATTTCAAATGACAAACATAACTTGAAGGTTCTTTGATTTCTCAGGCTTTCCAGAGGAAGTGTAGGCTACAGCCCAGTGGTAATCCAATGGCCCACATAGAGCATGTATCTCTCTTAACACCTATATGAAAGCACTAGGATCAACTGCACAGTTGGGAGCAGAAAATAGTCCCTGCCACATTTTCCCTTTACCTGCATTTTCATGTCATGAAATGTCTCCTCTAGGGTTTTCCCTTGCTATTGGTGTTCACTTGATGTATTCATGCTAAGCCCCTGGCTGATACTGTCCACAGGAGGGAAAGTGAAAGACGAATGATCCACCACAGGTGTATCCATCCTTAGAACAGTAAATGCAGTGCTGGATTTAAAGTCTATATCATTTCCAAAGCTTTCAATTCTCCATCATTTTACCAGAGCAAATGGGGAAAACAGCATAGTTGTGGAGTGGAAAACTCCATAAACTCATGAAAAAAACTGCCAACTGGGGCCTTATACAGTGAGAGGAAAAATGTGGGAAAAATCTAGTTGTACCCAAACTAAGGGGCAGTGGTAACTCAAGGGTTAAGGCTCTGGGTTACTGATCAGAAAGTTGGGGGTTCAAGCCCCACCACTGCCAAGTTGCCACTGTTGGGCCCTTGAGCAAGGCCCTTAACCCTATCTGCTCCAGGGGTGCTGTATCATGGCTGACCTTGAGCTCTGAGCCCAGCTTCCTAACAAGTTAGGATATGTGAAGAAAAGAATTTCACTGTGCTGTAGAGTACATGTGACAAATAAAGACAAAGTTAGACTGCTCTATAGACTAACAGAAAAGCAGATCTGAAATGATCATTTCCCCTAATGTGGTAGGATTGTGGCATCAGTATTGTAATGATTAATTTTCTTTTCACATTCTTTTTCAATTGCACTGTGGAAAAAAATCAGTTTGAAAAGTTTTCAGAAAGTTAGTGGTATGAGCAGTTCTTTCAAGGATGCAGCTGTATCTGGAATTTCAGCCGTCAATCACAAACTTTTGCTCCAGGCTTTAGAAAAAAGCAACACATTTGTGAAAATTTCACCACTTTTCTTCATTGTGCCTCTTTCTTCATCTCTCTTTTAGTGAATCACACACAGTTGCATACTTTTCATAGCAGGAAGTGAAATGGTACTAGATTTTTTTTTCCTTCTCAGTAAAATAAAATAGCATTATGTTGAAAGATTTTCCACAGGGAATATTTTGCTTTTGCTGGTTTTGTCCCTCTTAATGGACATTTCAGATTTTTTTTATCTTAAATGTATTTGCAGTGGTGCTTGTGACGGTCTCTGAATCATTGGGTCAGTACATAATTAACACTGTAATTATAATTTTTGATGATTTGCTTCATGTGGAGCCAAGTGCAGCATACTCTGGATAAATGTTGTGCCTAAACTCATGTTTTTGCAAATCTATTCATAGTAGTGGACTGTCCATCTGTTCAATTGTTGACATTATCTCTACAAAGCCCTTATGCTTGAGGCATTTTGGGGTGTGTGTGTGTGTAAAAATAGCCACTAGAGTATACTGATGTTTAGAGCTGACCTTTCTCTTGAAGTGAGAGAAGGCCACAGGGCTTCATGAGAAATCACCTGTGGCAGAGACGAAGAAGAAAAATTTCCCAGGAAACATTTATGCACAAATACTCCAAGCTGTCAAAAAAAAAAAAAAAGTCACACACACACACAAAAGCCCATTTTTCTTATGGGATATTGGCTTGAGAAAGTAGAAATTTTATTAGAGAGTAAGATGACACACAAAGTTATGGAAGGAAGAATAAACAATTGTGCTTTTAGTGCAGCTTATTAAGCTTATTTGATAGCAAAAATGTTAGAAACATAAGAGATTACACGCTAGGAAATATCAGATTTATGGGAATGTTGGATGCAATGGGAGACAGAAAGGCCAGGCATATTACCATGGAACTTAAAATTTATGTAAGTGGTTTGCTGTGGCCAGCGTTTTCTGTCTCCCACATATAAACACCCCTACACACTCATAAATTCGAAATGTCTTAGCCAGGGTGTATATTTATATTAATTTAAGGGAGTAAATCAGTGACCCTTGTTCCAAATGGTACAGCTTCAGTTTGCCTTGATTGGAAATTGGTCAAAATGAATCTCCTAGGCTAGTCTCTTAGGGTAATGTACATAGTTCAAATTCTGCACCAGCAGTCTTTTTGTATCTTGGTAGAAGTGCACCATTGCTGAGCAGCACAAAATGCTAGCATGGGCATTGTAACCTTGCTGCCATTAGAATCTTGGAAGTTAGCTAACATTCGTTTGCATCATATTAACTTATGTCATATGTGACATACTGTAAAAGCTTCCCTCAGTGATAAAAAACTGTCAAAGCTCTTTACTGTCATGTGCACAAAATTACAGTGGAATTCTTACTTGCATGTTGTTATGTGTTGTTTTGAGGAACGACATGCAAGTAAGAATTTCATTATACTTTCTATGCACATTACAATAAAGAACACTGACAATTGTAATTTTATCAGTAGGCTATATTGGGTATCACACTCAGGCAAGGACATGAATGTGGAAAGATGAAAATGAACACATTTTGGAAAATGTAACCTAATTAGAACACATGGTTTAGCAAGCTAATAGACCACAGTTCTCTGCCAAGTAGGTTCCTGTCAGCACTGTCATGTGTGACGGCGTGTGTTTGTTTTTAGTTCTACTCAATTTGGCGTGGGCTGCTGTGCAGCACGTACAACTCTGTTTACTGATGAAATGTACTCTCTTTGTGATTACATTTTCTGAAATATTGGGATGGAATTACTATATAGCTAATGTGAAATTTTGAGAAAGAATACAGATGGTTCGTTCTAAAGACTAGGCCAAGATATCACATAATGTATATACTGACTAAATAAATATAAATGACATATATATATATATATATATATATATATATATATATATATATATATATATATATATGGTTTTAGAAGATTCTGACTATTTCTAGGTCTCTACTTGAATGTAAGCAAATTTGTAATATTGACCATGTTAACTGCTTTGTACAAAATGTCAGATTTTCCTCTAATCTCTTCTTTTGAAGAATGCATTCAGATGACATTCCAATGGATTTGATTTAAAATGGATCATAAGGTTTTGCACAAATTTGTGGGGTCCATGCCAGCTTGAGTGCGCACTGTCATTAAAGCAAAAAGGGGACAAACCAAATACTATGAAACTCTTAAAGTCATGTAAATATTTCAGAGACTCTACTTTTCACTCAAGTTGTTGTCAATGATATAATTTGTAATGAAAATTGTTGTATTCATTTAGAAAAGAATGCAAAATAGAAGCATGTTCACTAGTTCACTAGTGCACTCAGACTTTTGGACCTCACTGTATATATAGTTACACTATAACAATACTATGCACAAATAAATTCTCCTATATACTATAGATCTAATGTACAGCTTTTTATTTGTTTTTCTGTCTTAATTGTTCAATTTTTCTCAAATGTAGAAATGCAGAACAAATGCAGGCATATTTATACCATTAAAATAAACTCATGTATCTCATATTCAATATAAGTGAAATATATGACAAAATGTAACTATTTTCTATATATTCTCTCATATATGAAAAGTGACAAAAATCTCTATATATTGTAAAATATATTTCTAATATTGTGACTACATATTGTTGAATAATAATATATACTGTCATACATGTATTGTAAGGATGATCCAGTTTCTGAATTAGTGTGTTTTTTGGCTGCATGTTTTGATGACATCACCTTGTTGCTCCACTTTAGAATATTCAATATAATAACTGTTGATGGAAGCACACATACAGACGCACAAGTCCCATTTTCTCACATGTGCAGCAGTCTTTACCAGCACTGATTGCAATTATCTGTCTGAGTGATTTTATATTATCTGAGCCTTCTTCAATCCCATTATGTGGTTGTCATTTGCATGCTTTTTTCATCCACTCGAAATGGATGTTAAATCGTTTCTCATACAACTCATCTCCAATTCGTTCTCATAATCAAACAACTTTTCTCTGAATGTGAAAGAAGAATGAATCAGGCTAACCAAAAAACTGTTTCTATTTTCTCATTTCCTTGGTTTGTGCATGATGAGCCTTTATAGGTAACAAGAGAACAGATCATTAGGAATGTGTAAGGCTATAATAATTATTCCCTAGAAGTAAATCAGTTGGACTTTGTTTTTGAAGATGTTTCATCAGTTCAGCAGATTAGATGAGTAGAAAAGATATCGTTCCTGAGACTATGGCATTCCAAATAAATATTGTCCAGTGTACAGTATGTGGTTGTTGGGAAGTTTCTAGAAAGTAATAATATAAAAGAGGTAAATTTTTTTTCATTGCTTTTTTTTTCATTCAAGCTAGATACGAATGAAGTAATTGTGTATTCATGAAAATCCAGTTAGCTTGGAAAATTTTTCATATCCTACAAAAGCTTGTGTAAATTTACATATAAAGCAATTCACTATTGGGAATCTCAAATAATTGTTGGGTTACTTCAATTTTGTCAAGTTGTCAAGTTTAAATAGATTATTTATTTTCATGCATAGGTTTAATTCAAAGTTCGTGAAACTCAACCATTTCATATTAATGACTTGAAAGAAAGCAAACTAAAAGAAAGTTAAACCAAACAAGACTAGCCATTCAATTAAGAAATGGTGCCCTATAAAAGGAGGAAATGGTGGTAGCTGATGCGCTGCAATGGCCGAGCTGCATTACTGGAAGATTTAACACTGCAAGGTTTTTGCCTTTTATGGAGTTTTGTGGGCATCACTAAATGTAAATCAGTTGTGTCGTAGATGCGCTTGGTAATTTACATGTAAACTGGCGTTGACCAACATATGCACATGATTATGAACAAAATCAGCATTACCAAAATTTGCTTGTAAATCTGGCAGGAATTTTTTAGTTCACTTACGAAAACACATATACACAATTCTACTAAAAGTTTGTGATGGAGTGCTGGTTGTGAAGCAAGGCAGGAGTCATGGAAAACGAGCAGGTAATGGGAAAATTTTTTGTTTAACAAAGCAATTTTTAAAAATAATAACCTGTTTATATGCACTGTTGCACTGAGAGAGAGAGAGAGAGAGAGAGAGAAAGAGAGAGGAAGAAAGAGAGACAACCTTACTTAAGAGAGAATGATGCTTCTTGGAGCTGAAAATGGAGCCATGAAAGTGTCCTGCTGTCTGTATTGACTTTACCTTGAGGTTTTTTTTTGTTTATGACGAAACAAACAGTGCATCAGCATCACTTTCTCATACAAAGTTTTCCTCCAGTGTCCTCACCCCCTCTTCCCACCTACAAAGGAGTCACGCATGCAGTTGCATCCATTTTCCTGATTAAGAAATCTGAATGAAATATATAGCATCACAACAATGTGTGAACATGATGATTAGCTATGCTTTCTCATATCACACAAGGATTTCTCAAAAAAAAAAAAAAAAGCTAAATACAACAAAAATTTATTCAAAAATGATTTGTCTTTCTGTGTATTTGGGACTGAGTACCACCTGAGTAAATTGGTGTGCTACACAATCTGTTAATTCATCCTGTCTTTTCAGTCTTGTTGAATGAATAAGACTATGTTGA